TGGAGAATGATTGGAGTTCCTAATAGAAATCACCTCCAACAAGTCCTCCAGCCCGGGTCATAGTGCAGTGTGTTGTCATGTGATACCCCCCCCCCCTCCTCCCCCGCACTTTGGCCGCCGAGTCTTGGGATTTGTCGCTGTCAGCCCGCCTCGCGCCCGCCTTGCGCCCAGCCTAGGCCGACCACTGGATTTACACCCGACGGGGTAAGTAAGAGCGTGTCCATCAGGTGTCCCATGTGCCGGCCCGCCTCGGCTCCGCTCGGCTCCGCTTCCGCTCAGCTCGGCCCCCCGTAAGCCGGACGGCCGTGATGATTAAATTACCCCGGTCTAACTAAATCCTCGGACGTGATGTTCTAGACCAGAGAGTTTCACCGGCGGCGGCGCCCCCCGGGCCATTCGTGCAATCTCACCCCCCATTCCACCACCCCGCCGCTCGCATCCCCGTGTATGAAAACTCATTGTTTAGAAAATGGAGATGTAATCTGCGGCTCCTCTATGACTCCCCTATTTTTTTTTCCCGCTGTTTTTGTTGTTTGTTTTCGTAATGTGATTTTTCCTCCTTTATATTTTTGTTTTTTAAAAAAGACTCATCCAATCTCGGCAATGCTGGTGCCCTGACAGCAGCGTCGCTCGAGCTCGTCGGTTTGCTTTGTGCTCGCCATGCTCTTGTCAAAACACGCGATGCGCCTCACTTAATTGTGCGGAGAATCCTTACTATCATCATTGTATAGTGCTGTGGTTGCGCTGCCCCGTTGATTGGCCGTGCCTCTCCTCCTTCGCTCCGCCTTTCCTCACTATCATCACCATCACCCCATTATAATCGGATTGGCGGATAGACCACTTTACCTACCAGCGCAACGCAGCAGCGCGTCATTAAGGAGTAACTTAATTTCCTTTTCAGTCTTTCGCGGATCGATATCCCCGCTCCGAAAGTCGCATATTTTGAAGTGTATTAATAATAATAAAAAAATGCTTCTGGAGCGTCGACCTCCATATTTACTCCCATTCACGGATAATTGCTCTAAGTGCGGCGACGAAACCGAATTATTTCCCCCCTCCCTTTCTCCCCGGGGACGCGCCTCGCACACTGCCACCGATTATACTCCTTAGTCTAACGCAAATTTGCGAGCCCGGCCGGGCGGCCGCCGCTGCGAGAGTTTCGGTCCGCGCGCCCCCCGCGCCAAACGCCAAAAGACTTTTGCTGAAAGTAATACTGGCACCCATTTCGCTTGCAGTTCCTTTCAAGGAAAACAAACGTTTTTTACCCAGCCGGTGGCGCTGGCGGCCGGCCAGGGCGGCGGGCCCCCTATTGGCCGCTCGGATCTCCATGTCATCCTGCCCCCGAGAGCCCCCTCCCCCGACGACGTGTGCTCACTAGCGTGCGTGCGCGTCCCCAAAGGGACAGTTAAATTCACCGGCCTAATGAAGCGGC